TTCTTTCTTTCTTTCTTTCTTTCTTTCTTTCTTTCTTTCTTTCTTTCCTTTCTTCTTCCTTTCTTTCCTTCCTCCCTCCCTCCCTTCTTCCTTCCTTCCTTCCTTTCTTTTTTAAGAGTCTGAGGGAAAATAATGGCAGTTTTATCTAAAAGAATAAATAATGCAGTTCTACTTCCACTGGTTATGGCTTTTTAAGAATTGTATCCCTGACTCAATTTCCTACTAGACTTTTAAACATTAAAGTTTTGAGTGCTAGTTCCATCTAAGTTAGCATAATTTCTTAGTGGGAGAGTTATAAACCAAGAACATTCAGGTCAAATTCAACCTATAAATGTTTTGTTTGGTGTTCGATAACTTTCAAGTAAATATTTTTTTTTAAATTGGAATATTTCACATAAAATCTGGGTTTTTGCTTTCTCTTACAAAAATGGAGTATCAAGCAAGCTGGTCCTGCTGTATCCTATGGCAGTGGTTCTGAGTACGCTTGCTGCACGAGCAGCACCAGCAGCCTTTAGAAACTTGTTAGAAATGCAAATTCATGGGCCCTCCCAGACCTACTCAGTCAGAAACACTGTGACATTAGTTACCTTCAGGTCATTCCTGATACACACCATGTCTGAGAACCTCTGCCCTGTGGCCCAATCTGTAGGATTTCCTTGGGAGCAGGCATCTTCCCACTGGTCTTTGATGTTCCCAGTTTGCCACCGACCCTATTGTGGAAATGATGTGTGTACACAGACTCCCTTACCCCTGACCTTCTAGGGGACAATTTCTTAGCCAGTCCCTGGGTCCTGCCAGCTTCATGGGTGTGTGACCCATGCAGTCACATGGCCCTACTCTCAGGAGAGGCTTGAGTTTGGTTTAAGGCTTTGCTATTCTGTCTCGAAATTCTTAATCATTTTATCTTTTGAATTCATGTTTTGTAAGTGAAGTGTGATGGACAATTGAACATGTGTGTGAGCAGAGGAAATCCACCAGTTGGCAGCAAGCATGGACTCAGGCTGATGGGCAGAGAAGGATAGCAGGCAGCATGCATGCTGAGCAGTTGGCTTCGCTGCCCAGTGCACATGTGCATGCCTCGGGCAGTCGGGGCACCATAGATCCCCAAGGAAGCAACAGAATGCATAAACAGCTATCTTGATTATATATAACCAGCACAGGAACTACTGGCGAACATTCAGCAAACTTTGTCAGTAAATTACTATAAAATAATAGCATATGCATGGACATTGCAATAAAGCGTATCAAGGAGTTATTCTTAAAAGAGTTTAGACTCTCTGGGTTTGAAAACTGTTGCACCATTGCAAAGCAAATACCCACAGGCTTAGAAACTGAAATTAAATTTAAAAATTATCACATTCAATAAAAAAGAATACTATTTTCCTATGAAGCTTTGGGTTTACCAAAGAAAACAATTCTAAGATTCATGTTTCCTTGTAACTAAAGATACAGTGATATGATGCATAAATAGGCATTTGAATTACATACAAACTGTGAAGCCGCTTTCAGTTTCTTGTATGACCTCCACAAATTACATAAAATGTCAGAGGAAATGTTAAAATGCCATTGTATAAATTTACACTTACAATTAAATTCAAACTTACACAAAACTGATTTGTATGAAGAGTTAAATCTTTTTAGAAAAATTGTTTCATAAGGATCATTAGCTTTAAATGTACTAAAATTTATATTTCAAAATAACTTATCAAAAATTTCTCCCAATATAATCACAGTCTATAAAATGCCCTTAACTAAAGTAACACTTGCATCAGAATAATGATACTTCTCAAAGTTAAAAATGCTCAAAAATCATTTGCTACCTTTCATTTGCCGAGAATGATTACTTTCAATTATATTGATTGAAAAAGAAGTTGCTAAAAGTGTAAGTTAGATTGATCTAATAAAATGAATAAATGAAGACGGCCAGAAAAATTTTTATGATCACTAAGGTATCATATAAGTACTTAAAGTTTTAACTTTACTAGGATTATTATTTCTTATATATTTCTTTTTTGCATTTTCTAAGTTGATTTTGTTACTGATGTATTACTGCTACTTCATTATGTTTCATAGGAATAAAATAATTTTAAAGATAAAAACTTATTATTTTCCTCTCTTAAACAGCATTTCCTCCCCTGCTTTTTGAAAAAGAAGCCCTGCATTTTCATTTTGCACAGGTCCCATAAATTATGTAGCTGGTCTTGTCTGTGACATTTGAGGTAGCCACCCTCAGGAGTAGAAACAAATAAACACAACAACAAAGAAAAACAGTCAGAAGACCCAGTTTCAAAACCTGGCTCTGGGACACTCTGTAAGACATATTGTTTGTGTTTTCAATACACTGAAGGCACAAATGATGCTAAGACTGTGACAGAATAGAGAAGACTAATAAGTAACACAGAAACACGGATTAAATCTTGGATGCGAAGAAAATCATAAAGAAAATTTGGGGAACAAATTTGAATATGGACTTGATATTAGGTGATGTCACTGAATTGACATGTCATTTATTGTGATAACAGTATTGTGACTACTGGGAGAATGTCCTGCTCTTAGGGAATACATCGATTTTTAGGAGTCAGGTGTTATGACAATTCTCGAATGGTTAAACAAAAGAATGAGTGGGAGGACAGTGTAAGAGCAAGCCAAATGTTAATCAATGAATCTAGCTAAAAGGGGTGCTTGTTTACTGTACTATTTCATTTTTTTGAAGGTTTGAAGTTTTTCCTGCCCCCCCCCCCAAAATTGGAGGAAACAAGCCAATGACAGAGCACAGAAGGGCTTTCTAGAAAGTCGGTAATGTTGTATATTTTGACATGGGGATTGTTGCAAGGACATCTTTAATTTCTAAGATTCACCCAGCTATTCACTTCTAATCTCTGCACTCTTGTATGTATTCTGTTCTTCAGTTCAAATGATTTAAAATGTTGCTTGATAATTGAGCAAGAAATACCCAAATGTGACGCATTGTTATACTGCTGAGTGAACATATGCCAGGGCTCAGTGTTTTTTGAGCGTGAGGATTTTGCCAATTAATCAGACGATAACTTCCTTTTTGTTTGTTTTGCACATCAGATTCCAAATTTCACGTTCCAAATTTCAGTCGAAAGCTCAGTATGGAAGAGGAGCAGGAATAATATGAGGAAAACTTATTGGCGACAACTTGCACAGGGGTGGAGCTGGGTGCTCTGCAGCCTGATGCTGATACAATTTTGAGGACCCTCCTTGAGGAAAATAATGCAAAATTAAGCCTGAAAATAAATGTCGATTTAGGAAGGGTCTAGGAACGAAGGGCTCAGAAATTGAGTATCTCCGTCTTCATGAGAAATCTGCTTCTGTTTTTTTTCCCCATTATTTTAAGTTGGAAAAAGGAAAAATAATATTCTTATTGTGATTATTCCTATTTCAATCATTGCTATATTTACTACTTTATGCTACTTCTCCAGGGCACCTCCAATGATGGATCTCAGCTTTTTCATGACTATAGGAGCAAGCTTTCCCTGTTTGCTTCTCAACAACAAGCTAGAAGAGAAGCACTGACCTATAACCTAGTATTATGGAAAAGAAAGGATTAGTAGAGTCTCTGATTTCCTCTTATCTGAAATGACATAAAATAATACACACTCCACCATCCTTGCCAAACTCAGAGCCCAGCTCATGTGGCAGGTCCTAGGGAACAGCTCACAAGTGACCAAACTGAGCTTTGTTTAGTCCTTCTAATGGCCTCCTGGGATGGGAATTACTGTTCCCATTTGGTAGCTGAAAACATTTCCCTGAGTTCATCCAGAGAGTAGTGCTTGAGCCAGAATTTAAATCAGGGTTTTGTGCTTCTGAGGCCTACGTGCTAACCGTTACACTCTATACTGTATTAGCCAACTGGAACAACTTATATCGCAAGATGGGACAGACACACGATTGCTATCTTAAGTTCAGAGATCTGGTGTCAGTTTTTTATGCCTCTAATAAAAGAAACGAAGTACAGAATAGTTGAATTTCAAAGCAGGAAATGTAGAGCAACAGGGCAGAAGAATAAGCCCAACGTGGCCGCGTGACTTAGGGTCTCACTTCTACCAAGATCAGTCCTTCCTACTTAGCTCCTGGAACTCTCCAAAATGCCAAAATGGAAAACAAGAAAATGGGACAATCATGAGTAGGAAAATGCATCTGGCTGATGTACATTTTTTTTCACCTTGATGTTCATACTTCAGTTGCTAAATTAATGCAATTGCTTAGTTCCTTTTCCTTTTTTTTTTAACATTTTATTTATTTATTTGATGGAGAGATAGCAAGAGCAGGAACACAAGCAGGGGGACTGGGAGAAGGAGAAGCAGGCTTCCCACTGAGCAGGGAGCCTGATGCGGGGCTCGATCCCAGGACCCTGGGATCATGACCTGAGCTGAAGGCAGATGCTTAACTACTGAGCCACCCAAGCACCCGTTAGTTCCTTTTCCTAATTAAATGATTTTTTTTCTCTTATCCCAGCCAACTAACCTTACCAAGATAGTTTAGCAACATATACATTTTGTTTTTTTGAAGCAACTCATTTTACTCCATTTTGGAGAGTTTCTGTGAAATTCACATTGCAAAGGCAATCAGCTCCTCTCTCTTTCTCTTTAAAGAACGGACAAACATCAATCAATTAATAAATCAATCTCAAGATTTCATTTATAAATTAACATATCCAGGGTCAGATGTTTTTCTGTCAAAAATCTTATGTAAAGCTTATGTACTCTTCCTGCTTTGTATAAACTCCAAATCGGCATCAATCACCCTTTCTTGGTTTGTTATCAATCCCCAGGACTGTGGCTGGCAAAGTTGGAACAAGCTTCAAGACCAGTTAAAAAGGGACAATCACTAGTAAATTAAAAAAAAAAAAAGTTAATCTTTGGCAAGTTGCAGCTGAGAGCATTTGGTGTAATCAGGCAACCCTTGAATGGCCAGGGACTTATTTCACTACTCATTAGGTCTTTTTCTTGGCATGAAAGGCCTCTGCCTTCATCCAATGACACTGTCCATGGACGAGTTTTCTGCAGAATAACATCAAGAGATATGTTTTCCTCATAGTTCTGGCAAACAAGTCTTGTCTTTCATAAAGACCAGTTGACTGATGTTGAGACAGAGTTCTGCTTCCATTTCTGTTTGAATTCCTGGGTTGTGGCTGAGGCTGTCAGGAAGGGAGCACAGAATCTCTATTGGCAGCTAGTTCAGACCAGGTTCTCTGGAGTTAAGACTTTAATAACCCAAAACATAGAGCAAATCAAAAGTCCTTCAATTGTTGGTAAATGGTCTTATAATTCTGGGAGAATAGGGTGGAGGGCAGATATTCAGTCACCCATTAAAAAAATTATAGTGTTAGAAATACATGTAGTCAGGCACCTGGGTGGCTCAGTTGGTTAAGCGACTGCCTTCGGCTCAGGTCATGATCCTGGAGTCCTGGGATCGAGACCCACATTGGGCTTCCTGCTCAGCAGGGAGTCAGCTTCTCCCTCTGACCCTCTTCCCTCTCGTGCTTTCTAGCTCTCATTCTCCCTCTCTCTCAAATAAATAAATAAAATCTTAAAAAAAAGAAAGATATACATGTAGTATTTTTCCTCTCTCCCACTCTCTCCTTGTAGGAGAACTCTGGCTCCATGTTTCTTGGGAATAGAGAACAAAATCCTTTTGGATTGCCACTTTGAGCCACATTTATGATGGGCAGAACTGAAGTTTCTTGAAGTTTCACATCCCTCCATATGCCTCTTGGAGGACACCTTAACTGTTCTTGGGAAACTGGACAAGATGCTCCCCCATCCAATGTGCAGCCAAGATGCCTTGCAGGCCCATCAAGAACTCTTTGGAGAGAGGTGGGAGGTGTGTCTTGTCCCAGGATAGAAATCTTTAAGAGGGTCCATTCCACAGTTTTCTCTCAGGTTTACAAAGGCCTGTTGCAGATGCTACGGGAAAGGGGGCCAACTATTCAGTACTCCTTCACGGCAGCTGATAGGAAAAGAACTCCGTAATACTATATTATCTTTCTTTACAACTATTATGTCAATGCAGTGGTAGTGAATAACATCAACAGATGAAATTTACACTCCATCTACTAGAAACCACGCACTTTACATGAACCTATGGTTCCTCCCTAACCAAATCAGTCATTATTCAACAAATATTTGTTCAGTGTGCCAACATGAAGAAAACTCACTTAAGTTTGGCTGAAACTTTGCCCCGGTGACCAACCAGCCTCATCAGAGGTAACGATGAGCATGATAGATGCTAAACATTGAGTACAAGAAGCAGATGTTGGGAGCAGAGAGGACCGATGCATACAAATAAACAGTGACTAATTAACCCTGGGTGATTTAGAGTAGGCCACCTGGCTATTTTCAAGGTTATGAGATGGAGGCAGAGGGGGAAGAAAAAGCATGAATTCAACAATCTCAGAGCAAAGCACAGGATTTCGTTGAGGGAGCCCTCTTATAGTTGACAAACTAGGCTTGGAAATTAGGCAGAGACGCCAGGAGCTGGCGCACAAGTGAAAGAATAGTGCCATGAAGCTGTGCGTGTAACTGTCTTGGCTTGTTTGCTGCACATGTAAATAATTACAGGTAATTAATTACCAATCAGTACTTATTACCAATTAACGGGTAATAATTACCAATCGGTCGACAACAGAAAGAAATTTGTCTTTGGAGTCTCAGACTACAGCTAAAGGAGGGAGCCTGGAAAACTGCTTAGTAGAGCTATCTCCCTCCCACCTCAAGGTTTATAGAAATAGAAACTGGGATTCAGGAAGTATTTGCTTAAAGTCACTCAATCCACGTCTGTTTAATTCTTTTAGCATCTGATCATACAGACATACTCAAACTTGGCACAAATGAAAATGGTAAATGTCTATGTACAAAGCCTCAGACACAAAGCCTGTAAATATTTGTGGAAGTACACCTACCCTGGCTTTTCCCAGGGTTATATTTGGTAATCTTTTTGATAGATTATATGCACATATACAATTATATGAGGCAAGTGGGATAAAGAAATGGGGAAAGTGTGTGGGAGGACAGTTCTTTGCAACTCTTCTGAAATTTCAAACTTGGATTCTGACAATGGAAACCTAATGAGAAATGCTATGATTTTCCAAAAAGGAGCTTTTAAAAAAAATATTGTAGTCATCACACTGAAAATGACAGAACTGATCCTGTCAAAGCTTTTAAAAATGTGGTCAATTAAAAACATACTCTCTAGTAAGTAGGAAAACTAGATATTACCGATGTGGGTTGTTCAGGGCAGTCTGGTGGTGGTTAGGTTATATTTTAGGGAAACACTGCATGTGATATCCGCCCCAGATAGAGATGAACTACGGATGCCTGTAATGTATTCCTTATTGCAATATCTAGCTCATTCATCTTACATAATTTTATTAAAAAAAAAAAAGAAAAGCCTGCCACCCTACCTCCAAAATGATAAGATTAGTTTTACTTTCAGATATTTTTTAAAGACCATGCTAACACAACACATTTCTTATTGGATGTTAATACATTGATTTAAGCTCCTTGGTTTTCAAGCAGCTAGATGGGCAGATTCATTCAGAAAATGTAGAATGATGAAGTCATAGATTGAGGCAAACATTGGGTGAAGTTTAGTACTTACTGCCAGGTAATACTTACAAAGTAGAATGAACATCACCTGACTTTCTGGTAGTTTTATTTAATAAATTGTTGACCGAAGGTATGTAATTAAGCATGGCCTAATGAAGATAAGCTTATTCAGAATTTGTTTCCAAATACTTCTTTTGTTTGTTTGTTTTAAAAGATTTATTTATTTATTTGGGGGGGAGGGGCAGAGAGGGAGAGGACAGAGAGAAAAACTTCAGGCAGACTCCCCGCTGAGGTCAGAGCCTGACCGAGATCATAACCTGAGCCAAAAACCAAGGGTCAGACCCTTAACCGACTGAGCCACCCAGGCTCTCCTCAAATGCTTTTCTTGTGTGTTGCCTCTAGTTACGTAGAGATAGAAGATAAGAGTGAAGGAATAACTTGACAGTGGCAGCCAATCAGAAGACTTTCTAACGGAAAATTTCCCTTTGAACTTTAAATAAAAGCACACACATTTCATTGTGCATCAACAAACTTACTGCCCAGGGAAATGTATACACATATCATGCCATGCTTTAGCATGTGGGTCAATGACAGTTGTGTCTCCACAAGCCAAGAGTTTTATAGTTACTTTTAATTTCTACATGTAGTTGGTGAGTGTTTTTCTCTTTCAAAAGCCTTTTTCC